AAACAATAAAAAATTCTCACGACGTTTCGACCATAACTCAAACGGTCATCATCAGGTGTGTCGGTTTGCATAAATTTATTTTTAAAACGGCACATTTATTTATTTATAAAAAACGTTGGCGTCACGCGCAGCGATTGGCAGTTTGCCCAGGACTAGTCCATCTATTTTTTTTTTTGAAAAGAGGAGGGGGGAGACGAAATTTTTTATAATGTATGCTGTCTGAAAGCCACTGTAAGCGTGAACAATCAATTAAGAACTGAAATGATTTATCAAATCTTTCCAATGATTTGATTTAATTTTATTGATTTATCTCCTGCCAGAAAGCGTACCTGGCCGTCGCAGGTGACAGCGCGCCGGAGTGCCGTCTCCGCGTGGAAACGTACGGCGGCAAAACCGAACCCGCCTGCGCTCAGGCGCGTCACGTTGAGCCTCCCCCTAGAGGCGGTCTTTAACGGGCAGAGACCCGGGGGAGGCTTTGGCGGACGCGCCAGACCTCCGACCGTGCAGGAGTTTGCGCTCGGATGTTCCGAGCACCAAACGGGCAGGCGCCTATCGCGAGCGGCTGCATTAACCGCACGTGGCACTCGTGGCGAAACGCCTCGCCGATTGCCAGGAAGGGGGTTTCAAGCCGATTCTCCGTTCCCCCCCCCCCCCCATCGTTTTTGATAGCGCCGGCAAACCCAACGGGTCCCGAAGCTGTTCCTTAAGGCAGCGGTCCACAAACTTCTTGGCCCCAGGGACCGGTGCCGTGGAAGACAACTGTTTCACGGACCCGGGGCGGGGGTGGGGGGGGTGGTCATCATTGGGTCTTTCCCCCTTTTCAAAGAAGCTCTCCAACGACGTTTTTGTGTTTTTTTTTTACTCATCATGGCTACTCGGGGGTTAGAGCTCGTGGGCTTTATACCAACACCACGTGACTGAGACTGAGCGCGCGGTGCGGGAAAGAGGCGTGGACGGAAGCGGTGGATAATAAAACAATGGGGGTCGGGCAACGTGCGGACTCACCGCTCTCTACTCCTCCTCCTGCTGCTGCTGTGCGGCCCGGTTCCTAACAGGGGGTTGGGGACCACTGCCTTAAGGAACACCGTCACCTCCACCCCCCCCCGCTCGTTCCTCTTGCTCGTTGCACCTCCGACGAGCGACGTTGTTTTGTCTGTCTGTCTCTCTGTCTGTCGTCGTCGCCGTGCCGTGGCAGGGTGACGGTGGACAGGCTCAAGGAGGGCGGCGTGCTCGAGGTTTGCCCCGTCGTCGTGTGCGAGGACTCCATGCAGGCTCAGCACCTGGGAGCGACGCTCGCGCTTTGGCACCTGTGCAAGGGACAGGTACGTGGTGACGCGCAAGTGTGCATGTGCGTGCGAGCGCGTGCGTGCGTGTGCGCACGTGTGTATGTGCGTGCGAGCGAGTGGGTGGCGGTAGAGAGGGGAGGTAGCTCACCGGATCCCTCCTCCTGGAGACAACCGTTTTGCTCTCGCGTCGTCACCCCCAGCGGTGACGTGCCGAGAAACTACACAGCGGAGACCCGTAGACTCACACAGCAGAGACCCGTACACTCACACCACAGAGAGCCCATAGACTCACACAGCAGAGACCCATAGACTCACACACCAGAGACCCATAGACTCACACAGCAGAGACCCATAGACTCACACAGCAGAGACCCATAGACTCACACAGCAGAGACCCGTAGACTCACACAGCAGAGACCCGTAGACTCACACCACAGAGAGCCCATAGACTCACACAGCAGAGACCCATAGAGTCACACAGCGGAGACCCATAGAGTCACAGAGCAGAGACCCATAGACTCACACAGCAGAGACCCATAGACTCACAGAGAGCCCATCGACTCACACAGAGACCCATAGACTCACACAGCAGAGACCCATAGACTCACGCAGCAGACACCCATAGACTCACAGAGAGCCCATCGACTCACACAGAGACCCATAGACTCACACAGCAGAGACCCATAGACTCACACAGCAGAGACCCATAGACTCACACAGCAGAGACCCATAGACTCACAGAGAGCCCATCGACTCGCACAGAGACCCACAGACTCACACAGCAGAGACCCATAGACTCACAGAGAGCCCATCGACTCGCACAGAGACCCACAGACTCACACAGCAGAGACCCATAGACTCACACAGCAGAGACCCATAGACTCACACAGCAGAGACCCATAGACTCACACAGCAGAGACCCATAGACTCACACGCCAGACACTCATAGATTCACACAGCGGAGACCCATAGACTCACACAGCAGAGACCCATAGACTCACACAGCAGAGACCCGTAGACTCAAGCAGCAGAGACCCATAGACTCACACAGCAGAGACCCATAGACTCACACGGCAGAGACCCATAGACTCACACAGCAGAGACCCATAGACTCACACAGCGGAGTCCCATAGACTCACACAGCGGAGACCCATAGACTCACACAGCGGAGACCCATAGACTCACACAGCGGAGACCCATAGACTCACACAGCAGAGACTCATAGACTCACACAGCAGAGACCCATAGACTCACAGAGAGCCCATCGACTCACACAGAGACCCATAGACTCACACAGCAGAGACCCATAGACTCACGCAGCAGAGACCCATAGACTCACAGAGAGCCCACCGACTCACACAGAGACCCATAGACTCACACAGCAGAGACCCATAGACTCACACAGCAGAGACCCATAGACTCACACAGCAGAGACCCATAGACTCACAGAGAGCCCATCGACTCGCACAGAGACCCACAGACTCACACAGCAGAGACCCATAGACTCACAGAGAGCCCATCGACTCGCACAGAGACCCACAGACTCACACAGCAGAGACCCATAGACTCACAGAGAGTCCATCGACTCGCACAGAGACCCACAGACTCACACAGCAGAGACCCATAGACTCACACAGCAGAGACCCATAGACTCACACAGCAGAGACCCATAGACTCACACAGCAGAGACCCATAGACTCACACGCCAGACACTCATAGATACACACAGCGGAGACCCATAGACTCACACAGCAGAGACCCATAGACTCACAGAGAGCCCATCGACTCGCACAGAGACCCACAGACTCACACAGCGGAGACCCATAGACTCACAGAGAGCCCATCGACTCGCACAGAGACCCACAGACTCACACAGCAGAGACCCATAGACTCACAGAGAGCCCATCGACTCGCACAGGGATCCACAGACTCACACAGCAGAGACCCATAGACTCACATAGCAGAGACCATAGATTCACACGCCAGACACCCATAGACTCACACAGCAGAGACCCATAGACTCACATAGCAGAGACCCATAGACTCACACAGCAGAGACCCATAGACTCACACGGCAGACACTCATAGACTCACACAGCAGAGACCCATAGACTCACACAGCAGAGACCCATAGACTCACACAGCAGAGACCCATAGACTCACAGCAGAGACCCATAGACTCACAGAGAGCCCATCGACTCGCACAGAGACCCACAGACTCACACGGCAGAGACCCATAGACTCACACGGCAGATACCCACAGACTCACACAGCAGAGACCCATAGACTCACACAGCAGAGACCCATAGACTCACACAGCAGAGACCCATAGACTCACACAGCAGAGACCCATAGACTCACACGGCAGAGACCCATAGACTCACACGGCAGACACCCATAGACTCACAGCAGAGACCCATAGACTCACACAGCAGAGACGCATAGACTCACACAGCAGAGACCCATAGACTCACAGAGAGCCCATCGACTCACACAGAGACCCACAGACTCACACAGCGGAGACCCCTAGACTCACAGAGAGCCCATCGACTCGCACAGAGACCCACAGACTCACACAGCAGAGATCCATAGACTCACAGAGAGCCCATCGACTCGCACAGGGACCCACAGACTCACACAGCAGAGACCCATAGACTCACATAGCAGAGACCCATAGATTCACACGCCAGACACCCATAGACTCACACAGCAGAGACCCATAGACTCACACAGCAGAGACCCATAGACTCACACAGCAGAGACCCGTAGACTCACACAGCAGAGACCCATAGACTCACACAGCAGAGACCCATAGACTCACAGCAGAGACCCATAGACTCACAGAGAGCCCATCGACTCGCACAGAGACCCATAGACTCACACGGCAGAGACCCATAGACTCACACGGCAGATACCCACAGACTCACACAGCAGAGACCCATAGACTCACACAGCAGAGACCCATAGACTCACACAGCAGAGACCCATAGACTCACACAGCAGAGACCCATAGACTCACACAGCAGAGACCCATAGACTCACACGGCAGACACCCATAGACTCACACGGCAGACACCCATAGACTCACACAGCAGAGACCCATAGACTCACACAGCAGAGACCCATAGACTCACACAGCAAAGACCCATAGACTCACACGGCAGAGACCCATAGACTCACACGGCAGAGACCCATAGACTCACACGGCAGAGACCCAGAGACTCACACAGCAGAGACCCATAGACTCACAGAGAGCCCATCGACTCACACAGAGACCTATAGACTCACACAGCAGAGACCTATAGACTCACACAGCAGAGACCCATAGACTCACAGAGACCCATAGACTCACACAGCAGAGACCCATAGACTCACACAGCAGAGACCCATAGACTCACACAGCAGAGACCCATAGACTCACACAGCGGAGTCCCATAGACTCACACAGCGGAGACCCATAGACTCACACAGCGGAGACCCATAGACTCACACAGCGGAGACCCATAGACTCACACAGCAGAGACTCATAGACTCACACAGCAGAGACCCATAGACTCACAGAGAGCCCATCGACTCACACAGAGACCCATAGACTCACACAGCAGAGACCCATAGACTCACGCAGCAGAGACCCATAGACTCACAGAGAGCCCACCGACTCACACAGAGACCCATAGACTCACACAGCAGAGACCCATAGACTCACACAGCAGAGACCCATAGACTCACACAGCAGAGACCCATAGACTCACAGAGAGCCCATCGACTCGCACAGAGACCCACAGACTCACACAGCAGAGACCCATAGACTCACAGAGAGCCCATCGACTCGCACAGAGACCCACAGACTCACACAGCAGAGACCCATAGACTCACAGAGAGTCCATCGACTCGCACAGAGACCCACAGACTCACACAGCAGAGACCCATAGACTCACACAGCAGAGACCCATAGACTCACACAGCAGAGACCCATAGACTCACACAGCAGAGACCCATAGACTCACACGCCAGACACTCATAGATACACACAGCGGAGACCCATAGACTCACACAGCAGAGACCCATAGACTCACAGAGAGCCCATCGACTCGCACAGAGACCCACAGACTCACACAGCGGAGACCCATAGACTCACAGAGAGCCCATCGACTCGCACAGAGACCCACAGACTCACACAGCAGAGACCCATAGACTCACAGAGAGCCCATCGACTCGCACAGGGACCCACAGACTCACACAGCAGAGACCCATAGACTCACATAGCAGAGACCATAGATTCACACGCCAGACACCCATAGACTCACACAGCAGAGACCCATAGACTCACATAGCAGAGACCCATAGACTCACACAGCAGAGACCCATAGACTCACACGGCAGACACTCATAGACTCACACAGCAGAGACCCATAGACTCACACAGCAGAGACCCATAGACTCACACAGCAGAGACCCATAGACTCACAGCAGAGACCCATAGACTCACAGAGAGCCCATCGACTCGCACAGAGACCCACAGACTCACACGGCAGAGACCCATAGACTCACACGGCAGATACCCACAGACTCACACAGCAGAGACCCATAGACTCACACAGCAGAGACCCATAGACTCACACAGCAGAGACCCATAGACTCACACAGCAGAGACCCATAGACTCACACGGCAGAGACCCATAGACTCACACGGCAGACACCCATAGACTCACAGCAGAGACCCATAGACTCACACAGCAGAGACGCATAGACTCACACAGCAGAGACCCATAGACTCACAGAGAGCCCATCGACTCACACAGAGACCCACAGACTCACACAGCGGAGACCCCTAGACTCACAGAGAGCCCATCGACTCGCACAGAGACCCACAGACTCACACAGCAGAGATCCATAGACTCACAGAGAGCCCATCGACTCGCACAGGGACCCACAGACTCACACAGCAGAGACCCATAGACTCACATAGCAGAGACCCATAGATTCACACGCCAGACACCCATAGACTCACACAGCAGAGACCCATAGACTCACACAGCAGAGACCCATAGACTCACACAGCAGAGACCCATAGACTCACACAGCAGAGACCCATAGACTCACACAGCAGAGACCCATAGACTCACAGCAGAGACCCATAGACTCACAGAGAGCCCATCGACTCGCACAGAGACCCATAGACTCACACGGCAGAGACCCATAGACTCACACAGCAGATACCCACAGACTCACACAGCAGAGACCCATAGACTCACACAGCAGAGACCCATAGACTCACACAGCAGAGACCCATAGACTCACACAGCAGAGACCCATAGACTCACACAGCAGAGACCCATAGACTCACACGGCAGACACCCATAGACTCACACGGCAGACACCCATAGACTCACACAGCAGAGACCCATAGACTCACACAGCAGAGACCCATAGACTCACACAGCAAAGACCCATAGACTCACACGGCAGAGACCCATAGACTCACACGGCAGAGACCCATAGACTCACACGGCAGAGACCCAGAGACTCACACAGCAGAGACCCATAGACTCACAGAGAGCCCATCGACTCACACAGAGACCTATAGACTCACACAGCAGAGACCTATAGACTCACACAGCAGAGACCCATAGACTCACAGAGACCCATAGACTCACACAGCAGAGACCCATAGACTCACACAGCAGAGACCCATAGACTCACAGAGAGCCCATCGACTCACACAGAGACCCATAGACTCACACAGCAGATACCCACAGACTCACACAGCAGAGACCCATAGACTCACACAGCAGATACCCACAGACTCACACAGCAGAGACCCATAGACTTACACAGCAGAGACCCACAGACTCACACACATAGAGACCCACAGACTCACACACAGGGACCCACAGACACACACACAGACCCACAGAGACACACAGAGACCCACAGACTCACACACAGAGACCCACAGACTCACACACAGAGACCCACAGACACAAACAGAGAGCAACAGACTCACACACAGAGACCCACAGACTCACACACAGAGACCCACAGTCACAAACAGAGACCCACAGACACACACAGAGACCCACAGAGACACACACAGAGACACACACAGAGACCCACAGACATACACAGAGACCCACAGATACACACAGAGACCCACAGACTCACACACAGAGACCCACAGACACACACTCAGAGACGCACAGACTCACACACAGAGACCCACAGACACACACTCAGAGACGCACAGACTCACACACAGAGACCCACAGACTCACACACAGAGACCCACAGACACACACAGAGACCCACAGACACACACAGAGACCCACAGACACACACAGAGACCCACAGACACACACAGAGACCCACAGACACACACAGAGACCCACAGACACACACACAGACCCACAGACACACACACACAGAGACCCACAGACTCACACACAGAGACCCACAGACACACACACAGAGACCCACAGACACACACAGAGACCCACAGACACACACAGAGACCCACAGACCAGCTGCTGCCGCCCCCCCCTACCGTGACTTGCGGCCCCAAGTGTCGGGGTGGCAGCAGCTCCCGACGGGGCTCACCTCCCCCCGTTTAAAACAATGTCCCCTCTCCCGCTGCCCGCCTCCGCCGCAGTCGATCCACCAGCTGCTGCCGCCGCCCTACCGCGACGTGTGGCTGGAGTGGCGTGACGCGGAGCAGGCTGCGCAGCAGGCGGCGCTCGCCGAGAACAACCGGCCCCGCGACGAGTTCCTCGACCGCCTGCTGGCGCAGCTCAAGGAGCAGCAGCAGCCGCAGCAGCAGCAGCAGCAGCAGCAGCCTGCGCTGCAGGAGCAGCAGCAGGAACAGCAGCAGTGGAGCGAGCAACAGGAGCGAAGGGTTCGCAAAGGTCACAGCGGCAAGGGGCGGAAGAAGCGCGCTCCCGCGCAGGTGGGTGACCGCGTCCACCCGCGGCAGATTGGCCCTGGCTGGATGGCGGCCCGGCCGACGCCGCGCTGGGATGCCGGCTGACGTCGCTCGCTCGTCTTCGTGTCCTGCGTAGATTTGTGTGGAGCGGCGGCTTCGTCCGAGGTGCCCTACGCCCGGTATAAAGTAGTACTGTATAAAGTAGCGCGGTGTAAAGTAGTACTGTATAAAGTAGTACTGTATAAAGTAGTACTGTATAAAGTAGTACTGTATAAAGTAGTGCGGTGTAAAGTAGTATTGTAAAAAGTAGTACTGTATAAAGTAGTACTGTATAAAGTAGTACTGTATAAAGTAGTACTGTATAAAGTAGTACTGTATAAAGTACTGTATAAAGTAGTACTGGATAAAGTAGCGTGGTGTAAAGTAGCGTGGTGTAAAGTAGCGTGGTGTAAAGTAGCGTGGTGTAAAGTAGCGTGGTGTAAAGTAGCGTGGTGTAAAGTAGCGTGGTGTAAAGTAGCGTGGTGTAAAGTAGCGTGGTGTAAAGTAGCGTGGTGTAAAGTAGCGTGGTGTAAAGTAGCGTGGTGTAAAGTAGCGTGGTGTGAAGCAGCGCGGCTTGAGGTAGCGGTATGCGGAGGGGTAGCGGGTCTCTGCCGTGTGAGTCTACGGGTCTCTGCTGTGTGAGTCTACGGGTCTCTGCTGTGTGAGTCTATGGGTCTCTGTGTGTGTCTATGGGTCTCTGACGTGTGAGTCTATGGGTCTCTGTGTGTGTGAGTCTATGGGTCTCTGTGTGTGTCTATGGGTCTCTGCTGTGTGAGTCTATGGGTCTCTGTGTGTGTCTATGGGTCTCTGCTGTGTGAATCTATGGGTCTCTGCTGTGTGAGTCTATGGGTCTCTGCTGTGTGAGTCTATGGGTCTCTGCTGTGTGAATCTATGGGTCTCTGCTGTGTGAATCTACGGGGATCTCTGCCGTGTGAGTCTACGGGGATCTCTGCCGTGTGAGTCTATGGATCTCTGCCGTGTGAGTCTATGGATCTCTGCTGTGTGAGTCTACGGGTCTCTGCTGCGTGAGTCTATGGATCTCTGCTGTGCGAGTCTATGGGTCTCTGCCGTGTGAGTCTATGGGTCTCTGCTGTGTGAGTCTATGGGTCTCTGCCGTGTGAGTCTATGGGTCTCTGCTGTGTGAGTCTACGGGTCTCTGCTGTGTGAGTCTATGGGTCTCTGTGTGTGTCTATGGGTCTCTGACGTGTGAGTCTATGGGTCTCTGTGTGTGTGAGTCTATGGGTCTCTGTGTGTGTCTATGGGTCTCTGCTGTGTGAGTCTATGGGTCTCTGTGTGTGTCTATGGGTCTCTGCTGTGTGAATCTATGGGTCTCTGCTGTGTGAGTCTATGGGTCTCTGCTGTGTGAGTCTATGGGTCTCTGCTGTGTGAATCTATGGGTCTCTGCTGTGTGAATCTACGGGGATCTCTGCCGTGTGAGTCTACGGGGATCTCTGCCGTGTGAGTCTATGGATCTCTGCCGTGTGAGTCTATGGATCTCTGCTGTGTGAGTCTATGGGTCTCTGCTGCGTGAGTCTATGGATCTCTGCTGTGCGAGTCTATGGGTCTCTGCCGTGTGAGTCTATGGGTCTCTGCTGTGTGAGTCTATGGGTCTCTGCCGTGTGAGTCTATGGGTCTCTGCTGTGTGAGTCTATGGATCTCTGCCGTGTGAGTCTATGGATCTCTGCCGCGTGAGTCTATGGGTCTCTGTGTGAGACAATGGGCTCTCTGTGAGTCTATGTACCGTACTTTGAACGTCCTCCGCACCGTACGTAGCCAGCAGGCGCTGAATCGGCGGTGCGTGTCGGAGGGGCAGGAGAACGACCGAGTAAACGCGACAGAGAGAGGCGGCCGTGAAGAAACGAGTTTCACAGTTCCCTTCTGCCGTCGCGTTCCGCAGGACAGCGACGGTGGGCTCAAGGAGTCGTGGGACGACTCGGAGGGCAGCGGCTCCGGCTCCGGCTCCGACGACGTGGATGACGAGGAGGAGGAGGAGGAGGATGAGGAAGCGAAAAACGGCGGCGGCAACGACGTTACGTGCGACGGGCGCGGTGATGGCGGCGGCGGCGGCGGCGGCGGTGCGGAGGACGCGGCAGGGCGGGGCTCCCTGGCCGCGTGCCGCCACCTCTTCCGGCGCCTCCGCTCCTCGCCGGCGGCCGAGAGGCTCCGCGCCGAGCGCCGGGCCCTGCCCGTGTCGCAGCACCGCGAGCAGCTGGTGGGCGCCATGGCGACGCACCGAGTGGTCATCGTCGCCGGGGAGACGGGCAGCGGGAAGAGCACCCAGGTGCCGCAGTTCCTGCTCGAGGAGTTCCTGGCCGGTGAGTCGGGGGTGCAGGGGTCTGGGGGTCGAAGGTCAGGGGTGAGGGGCTAGAGGTGAGGGGTCGGGGGTGAGTGAGTGCAGACGCCACGGGTGTCAAATTCATCGCCAAGACGCAAGAGGTCGGATGCTGCTTCCCCCCCCCCTTCCCCCACTTCTCCCCCCCTCATCCCCCCCTCATCTCCCCCCACTTCCTCCCCCCTCCTTTATCCCCCACTCACCCCCCCACCCCCCACCCCCCTCGCCCCCCAGGAGAGTCCCCGGCCTGTGAGGAGGGTGGTGCTGCCCCCTTCATGGTGGTGTGCACGCAGCCGCGACGCATCTCGGCCGTCAGCCTCGCCAGGCGCGTCAACCAGGAGCTGGGAGCGCACGGAGAGCCGGGCAGCGAGGTGACGCACGCACGCGTGTGTGTGGGTGTGGGTGTGTGTGTGTCTACGTGTGTGTGTGGGTGTGTCTACGTGTGTGTGTGGGTGTGTCTACGTGTGTGTGTGGGTGTGTCTACGTGTGTGTGTGGGTGTGTCTACGTGTGTGTGTGTGTAGGTGTGTGTGTTTACGTGTGTGTGTGGGTGTGTCTACGTGTGTGTGTGGGTGTGTCTACGTGTGTGTGTGGGTGTGTCTACGTGTGTGTGTAGGTGTGTGTGTAGGTGTGGGTGTCTACGTGTGTGTGTGTAGGTGTGTGTGTCTACGTGTGTGTGTGTAGGTGTGTGTGTCTACGTGTGTGTAGGTGTGTGTGTCTACGTGTTGGGGGTGTAGGTGTGTAGGTGTAGGTGTGTGGGTGTGTCTACGTGTGTGTGTGTAGGTGTGTGTCTACGTGTGTGTGTGTAGGTGTGTGTGTGTTTACGTGTGTGTGTAGGTGTTTGTATTTACGTGTGGCCTGGCACAAGCGTCGTGGTGGCGTCACCGCCACTTAGTGGCAAATGGCGGTTGTTGTTTACGTGTGTGTTTACGTGTGTGTAGGTGTTTGTTGTTGCGTGTGTGTAGGTGTTTGTTGTTGCGTGTGTGTAGGTGTGTGCGTCTACGTATGTGTGGGTGTTTACATGTGTGTGTAGGTGTGTGTGTGTAGGTGTTTGTGTTTACGTGTGTGTAGGTGTTTGTGTTTACGTGTGTGTAGGTGTTTGTGTTTACGTGTGTGTAGGTGTTTGTGTTTACGTGTGTGTGTGTGTTTACGTGTGTGTGTGTGTGGGTGTGTGCGTCTACGTATGTGTGTGGGTGTTTACGTGTGTGTAGTTGTGTACAGAATCCCACGTCAGAGAATGAGGAGGCTTACTGCAGCCTTGGTTCGGAGAGCCTTGAGGCGCTGCAAGGATGGGTGGTGGTCGCGGGTTGCTGAGGAGATGGAGTCTGCCTCAGTGGCCCGCGATCACAAATCTCTATTTAACTCCATCAAAAAAGTAACCTGCAGCGCCACACCTATTACAATCATTAGGGGAAAAAACGGTGATCCAATCTCCGACCCCCAGGAACAGGTTTGCAGATTTGCTGAGCATTTCTGTGAGGTCCTGGGGGAGGGAAAATCCCTCAGCCAGGAAAACATCGTGGCACAAAGTGAGGATGACCCTGCTGAGGCTGTGGTGCCTCAAATATTGGAACAAGTCACCCCCTGTGAGTGGCTGGCTGAGGTGCCATCTGTTGAGGAAGTACTGAAGGCGATCCGGAGTCTGAGACCAGGAAAGGCAGCGGGCAGAGATGATCTCCCAAGCGAAATGCTGAGGGAGGGTGGCGTTTGTGCACAGACTGCCCTATATGACATCATAGCAACGGTCTGGGCCGCTGGACGGGTTCCGCAGGATTGGAAGGATGCCCTGGTGGTCCCCCTCTTTAAGAAGGGGGACCGCACAGACTGTAACAACTACAGGGGCATCTCACTCCTCAGTGTGCCGGGAAAGGTCCTGGCAAGGATTATTCAGCATCGCCTTGCCAGGCACGCTGAGGAGAGGCTTGCGGAGCCCCAATGCGGTTTCAGGAAAGGGCGGTCCTGCACAGATGCCATATTTTCTGTCCGTCTGCTACAGCAGAGGTGTAGGGAATTCCAACAAGACCTACATCTCTGCTTTATTGACCTGGTCAAGGCCTATGATACCATCAGTAGGCCTGGGCTCTGGGTCGTTCTTCGTGCTTTTGGAGTACCTGACCCTCTGCTCACGATCATTAAGGCCCTTCATGATGGTGAGCGGGCCCGGATAAAACTACGTGGCCGGGAGTCAGAGCCATTCCCTGTACACCTTGGGGTGCGACAGGGATGTCCTCTGGCTCCCACATTATTTAACATCTATTTTGACCACGTAGTTCGTGAAGCCTTCAATAGCTGTACCAGGGGAATCTCCATATGGTACAGATATAATGGGAGGCTAATCGATGCCCGGGTGCGGTCAAGGGATGGCTCCCTATTGCTCAACCACGTTATGTATGCTGATGATTTGGTAATAGCTGCTCAGTCAGAGGAGGAGTTGGAGACGCTGCTGCTGAGACTGGAGCGTGCCACTAAGAGGTGGGGCCTTACCATCAGCCCCACCAAAACTAAGCACCTGCCTGGGTATTTTGTACCATCGGACACTCCACCCCCACAACTCCCAATCGGTGATGGGGCAGTTGTGGAGAGAGTGGAGAGTTTCCCATACCTGGGCAGTGTGCTTATGACTGGCTCCAGTTTAACAGCAGAGGTCTCACTCCGAATCAGTCGAGCGGCAATATCTTTTCATCGGTTGCGTAACGCTGTGTGGAAGCTACCTGGTCTGTCGCTCCGCACTAAGCTTCAGGTCTTCTCGGCCACGGTCATTCCCTCCCTTCTTTACGCTTGCGAAACGTGGACCCCCCTAATGGAACATCTTCGCCGGTTAGAAACATTTAGGCTGGCCTGCCTACGATCCATCCTGGGTTTAACCAGACTGGATTGTGTGAGGAGCTCACAAATCCTTGAAAGATCTGGGCAGGGTCCCATCAGTGAGCTCCTCCGGCAGGCAAGGCTGCGATGGCTGGGTCATGTAGCCCGCATGCCCAGCCACCGCATGCCGAAACAGCTTTTGTTTGGCCGGATTGAGGGGGCTAAGCGGGCGCGGCACGGGCTAGAGAAGAGATGGAGTGATGTGGTACAGGAGGACGTGGAGCTGAGTGGACTTGTCGATGACTGGTACCAGCGGTGTCAAGATTGGCCTCTGTGGAGGAGGCTCGTGAAGGACGCTACTGGGCAGTTGGAGGCAGTCGCCCTGCAACAACAACGAAGGGCGGAGGAGCGACGCTCACAACAACGAGCGGAGCGCCGGGTGGCTAAAGCACAGCAGGTTGGCACAGTAGGGGGCACAGGTGGTGCATCAGCCAGTCATCGCAGTCAGTTGACCCGTGGCACCTGGGTCTGCCCAGTGACCTCCTGCGAGCGGGCGTTCGACACTTCACGTGGCCTCACGGTGCACATAGCCTGGCACAAGCGTCGTGGTGACGTCACCGCCACTTAGTGGCGAATGGCGGTTGTTGTTGTTGTTGTTGTGTGTGTGTAGGTGTGTGTGTGTAGGTGTGTGTGTGTAGGTGTGTGTGTGTCTAGGTGTGTGTGTGTGTACGTGTAGAGGTTAGCGCTACGCCGCCCTACGAACCCGGCGACCCGATTCCCGCTCACGGCCAACACCGGTGACGATTAAACGAACCTCCCCCTAGGTCGACTCAGCCTCAAACGAGCACCTGGCGCGGTGTGCTTAGTAAACATCGCCACCGGGGAGACAAAGGCGGCCGGGCGCGGTGTTGTCCACCTTGACCCCACCTCGTGTGCCGTGCCGGCCTTAACGGGCGCCGCTCTCCGACCCCGCTGGCCCCGGCGGGCCGCCGTGGCCACGCGACGGACCGCGGGGGTCTCCGGCGTTTTGTGCGGGCGCGGGGCGATGTCGGCTCGGCCTCACGGCGAGCGGCCCGGCGCGATTCCGCGGAACATCGCCGCCACACCGGGGAGACAACGTCACACCGCCCCCCCCTCCCCCCCCCCCCGCCGACAGAGCACCTGACCCCCCCCCCCCTCCCTCCCCCCCCCCCCCCCCCCCGTGTGTCCGTGTCAGTCGTCACTCTGCGGCTACCACATCCGCCTGGAGCGCCGCTCCGGGCCCTGCTGCCGCCTGCTCTACGCCACGGCCGGCGTGCTCCTGCGCCGGCTGCAGGTGGAGCCGTCGCTCTCGTCGCTCTCCCACCTCGTCGTGGACGAGGTGCACGAGCGCGGCGCCCACAACGACCTCCTCCTCGCCGCGATGCGCCGGCTGCTGGCGCAAGCGGCGTCTCCGGCGTCTCCGGCGCCTTCGGGGCGGCAGCAGCGGCGGCGTGAGCCGCCGCGTCTCATCCTCATGAGCGCCACGGCCGACTGCCGGCGCCTGTCGCGGTATTTCGGCGGGTGTCCCATCGTCACGGTGCCCGGGCGCACCTTCCCCGTGCAGGTGCGGCGCTCGCGGGCACGGAGAGAGAGGGAGACTCATAGACTGGCACAGAGAGAGAGAGACTCATAGACTGGCACAGAGAGAGAGAGACTCATAGACTGGCACAGAGAGAGAGAGAGACTCACAGACTGGCACACAGAGAGAGACTCATAGACTGGCACGGAGAGAGAGAGACTCATAGACTGGCACACACAGAGAGAGAGAGAGACTCATAGACTGGCACACACAGAGAGAGAGAGAGACTCATAGACTGGCACACACAGAGAGAGAGAGAGACTCATAGACTGGCACAGAGAGAGAGACTCATAGACTGGCACAGAGAGAGAGAGAGACTCATAGACTGGCACACACAGAGAGAGAGACTCATAGACTGGCACAGAGAGAGAGACTCATAGACTGGCACAGAGGGAGAGAGACTCATAGACTGGCACACACAGAGAGAGAGACTCACAGACTGGCACACAGAGAGAGAGACTCATAGACTGGCACACACAGAGAGAGAGAGAGACTCATAGACTGGCACACACACAGAGAGAGAGAGACTCATAGACTGGCACACACAGAGAGAGACTCATAGACTGGCACAGAGAGAGAGAGAGACTCATAGACTGGCACAGAGAGAGAGACTCATAGACTGGCACAGAGAGAGAGAGACTCATAGACTGGCACACACACAGAGAGAGAGACTTACAGACTGGCACACAGAGAGAGAGAGAGACTCATAGACTGGTCCACACACAGAGAGACTCATAGACTGGCACACAGAGAGAGACTCATAGACTGGCACAGAGAGAGAGAGACTCATAGACTGGCACAGAGAGAGAGAGACTCATAGACTGGCACACACACAGAGAGAGAGAGACTCACAGACTGGCACACAGAGAGAGAGACTCATAGACTGGCACACACAGAGAGAGAGAGAGAGACTCATAGACTGGCACACACAGAGAGAGAGAGAGACTCATAGACTGGCACACACAGAGAGAGAGAGACTCATAGACTGGCACACAGAGAGAGAGAGAGACTCATAGACTGGCACACAGAGAGAGACTCATAGACTGGCACAGAGAGAGAGAGAGACTCATAGACTGGCACAGAGAGAGAGAGAGACTCATAGACTGGCACAGAGAGAGAGACTCATAGACTGGCACAGAGAGAGACTCATAGACTGGCACACACAGAGAGAGAGAGAGACTCACAGACTGGCACACAGAGAGAGAGAGAGAGACTCATAGACTGGCACACACAGAGAGAGAGAGAGACTCATGGACTGGCACACAGAGAGAGAGAGACTCATAGACTGGCACACACAGAGAGAGAGAGAGACTCATAGACTGGCACACACAGAGAGAGAGAGACTCATAGACTGGCACACAGAGAGAGAGAGAGACTCATAGACTGGCACACAGAGAGAGACTCATAGACTGGCACAGAGAGAGAGAGAGACTCATAGACTGGCACAGAGAGAGAGACTCATAGACTGGCACAGAGAGAGAGAGACTCATAGACTGGCACACACAGAGAGAGAGAGAGAGTCTCACAGACTGGCACACAGAGAGAGAGAGAGAGACTCATAGACTGGCACACACAGAGAGAGAGAGAGACTCATAGACTGGCACAGAGAGAGAGAGAGACTCATAGACTGGCACACACAGAGAGAGAGACTCACAGACTGGCACAGAGAGAGAGACTCATAGACTGGCACACAGAGAGAGAGAGACTCATAGACTGGCACAGAGAGAGAGACTCATAGACTGGCACAGAGAGAGAGAGACTCATAGACTGGCACACACAGAGAGAGAGAGAGAGACTCACAGACTGGCACACAGAGAGAGAGAGAGACTCATAGACTGGCACACACAGAGAGAGAGAGAGACTCATAGACTGGCACACAGAGAGAGAGAGACTCATAGACTGGCACACACAGAGAGAGAGACTCACAGACTGGCACAGAGAGAGAGACTCATAGACTGGCACACAGAGAGAGAGAGACTCATAGACTGGCACACACAGAGAGAGAGAGAGAGACTCATAGACTGGCACACACAGAGAGAGACTCATAGACTGGCACACAGAGAGAGAGACTCATAGACTGGCACACACAGAGAGAGAGACTCACAGACTGGCACAGAGAGAGAGACTCATAGACTGGCACACAGAGAGAGAGAAAGAGACTCATAGACTGGCACACACAGAGAGAGAGAGACTCATAGACTGGCACAGAGAGAGAGAGAGACTCATAGACTGGCACAGAGAGAGAGACTCATAGACTGGCACAGAGAGAGAGAGACTCATAGACTGGCACACACACAGAGAGAGAGACTTACAGACTGGCACACAGAGAGAGAGAGAGAGACTCATAGACTGGTCCACACACAGAGAGACTCATAGACTGGCACACAGAGAGAGACTCATAGACTGGCACAGAGAGAGAGAGACTCATAGACTGGCACAGAGAGAGAGAGACTCATAGACTGGCACAGAGAGAGAGAGACTCATAGACTGGCACACACACAGAGAGAGAGAGACTCACAGACTGGCACACAGAGAGAGAGACTCATAGACTGGCACACAGAGAGAGAGAGAGAGACTCATAGACTGGCACACAGAGAGAGAGAGAGAGACTCATAGACTGGCACACACAGAGAGAGAGAGACTCATAGACTGGCACACAGAGAGAGAGAGAGACTCATAGACTGGCACACAGAGAGAGACTCATAGACTGGCACAGAGAGAGAGAGACTCATAGACTGGCACAGAGAGAGAGACTCATAGACTGGCACACACAGAGAGAGAGAGAGACTCACAGACTGGCACACAGAGAGAGAGACTCATAGACTGGTCCACACACAGAGAGACTCATAGACTGGCACACAGAGAGAGACTCATAGACTGGCACAGAGAGAGAGAGACTCATAGACTGGCACACACAGAGAGAGAGAGACTCATAGACTGGCACAGAGAGAGAGAGAGACTCATAGACTGGCACAGAGAGAGAGACTCATAGACTGGCACAGAGAGAGAGAGACTCATAGACTGGCACACACACAGAGAGAGAGACTTACAGACTGGCACACAGAGAGAGAGAGAGAGACTCATAGACTGGTCCACACACAGAGAGACTCATAGACTGGCACACAGAGAGAGACTCATAGACTGGCACAGAGAGAGAGAGACTCATAGACTGGCACAGAGAGAGAGAGACTCATAGACTGGCACAGAGAGAGAGAGACTCATAGACTGGCACACACACAGAGAGAGACTCACAGACTGGCACACAGAGAGAGAGACTCATAGACTGGCACACAGAGAGAGAGAGAGAGACTCATAGACTGGCACACACACAGAGAGAGAGAGACTCATAGACTGGCACACACAGAGAGAGAGAGACTCATAGACTGGCACACAGAGAGAGAGAGAGACTCATAGACTGGCACACAGAGAGAGACTCATAGACTGGCACAGAGAGAGAGAGACTCATAGACTGGCACAGAGAGAGAGACTCATAGACTGGCACACACAGAGAGAGAGAGAGACTCACAGACTGGCACACAGAGAGAGAGAGAGACTCATAGACTGGCACACACAGAGAGAAAGACTCACAGACTGGCACAGAGAGAGAGACTCATAGACTGGCACACAGAGAGAGAGACTCATAGACTGGCACACACAGAGAGAGAGAGAGAGAGACTCATAGACTGGCACACACAGAGAGAGAGAGAGACTCATAGACTGGCACAGAGAGAGAGAGACTCATAGACTGGCACAGAGAGAGAGAGACTCATAGACTGGCACACACACAGAGAGAGAGAGACTCACAGACTGGCACACAGAGAGAGAGACTCATAGACTGGCACACAGAGAGAGAGAGAGAGACTCATAGACTGGCACACACAGAGAGAGAGAGAGACTCATAGACTGGCACACACAGAGAGAGAGAGACTCATAGACTGGCACACAGAGAGAGAGAGAGACTCATAGACTGGCACACAGAGAGAGACTCATAGACTGGCACAGAGAGAGAGAGACTCATAGACTGGCACAGAGAGAGAGACTCATAGACTGGCACACAGAGAGAGAGAGAGAGACTCACAGACTGGCACACAGAGAGAGAGAGACTCATAGACTGGCACACACAGAGAGAAGACTCACAGACTGGCACAGAGAGAGAGACTCATAGACTGGCACACAGAGAGAGAGAGACTCATAGACTGGCACACACAGAGAGAGAGAGAGAGACTCATAGACTGGCACACACAGAGAGAGAGAGAGACTCATAGACTGGCACACAGAGAGAGAGAGACTCATAGACTGGCACACACAGAGAGAGAGAGAGACTCATAGACTGGCACAGAGAGAGACTCATAGACTGGCACAGAGAGAGAGAGACTCATAGACTGGCACACACACAGAGAGAGAGACTTACAGACTGGCACACAGAGAGAGAGAGAGACTCATAGACTGGTCCACACACAGAGAGACTCATAGACTGGCACACAGAGAGAGACTCATAGACTGGCACAGAGAGAGAGAGACTCATAGACTGGCACAGAGAGAGAGAGACTCATAGACTGGCACAGAGAGAGAGAGAGACTCATAGACTGGCACACACACAGAGAGAGAGAGACTCACAGACTGGCACACAGAGAGAGAGACTCATAGACTGGCACACAGAGAGAGAGAGAGAGAGACTCATAGACTGGCACACACAGAGAGAGAGAGAGACTCATAGACTGGCACACACAGAGAGAGAGAGACTCATAGACTGGCACACAGAGAGAGAGAGAGACTCATAGACTGGCACACAGAGAGAGACTCATAGACTGGCACAGAGAGAGAGAGACTCATAGACTGGCACAGAGAGAGAGACTCATAGACTGGCACAGAGAGAGAGAGAGACTCATAGACTGGCACACACAGAGAGAGAGAGAGACTCACAGACTGGCACAAGAGAGAGAGACTCATAGACTGGCACAGAGGGAGAGACTCATAGACTGGCACACAGAGAGAGAGAAGAGACTCATAGACTGGCACACACAGAGAGAGAGAGAGACTCATAGACTGGCACACACAGAGAGAGAGAGACTCATAGACTGGTCCACACAGAGAGAGAGAGACTCATAGACTAGCACAGAGAGAGAGAGACTCATAGACTGGCACACACAGAGAGAAAGAGAGACTCATAGACTGGCATAGAGAGAGAGAGACTCACAGACTGGCACACACAGAGAGAGAGAGACTCACAGACTGGCACAGAGAGAGAGAGAGACTCACAGACTTGCACAGAGAGAGAGAGACTCATAGACTGGCACACACAGAGAGAGAGACTCATAGACTGGCACACACAGAGAGAGAGAGAGACTCATAGACTGGCACACACAGAGAGAGAGAGACTCATAGACTGGCACACACAGAGAGAGCGACTCATAGACTGGCACACAGAGAGAGAGAGACTCACAGACTGGCACAGAGAGAGAGAGACTCATAGACTGGCACACACAGAGAGAGAGACTCACAGACTGGCACAGAGAGAGAGACTCATAGACTGGCACACAGAGAGAGAGAGACTCATAGACTGGCACACACAGAGAGAGAGAGAGAGACTCATAGACTGGCACACACAGAGAGAGACTCATAGACTGGCACACAGAGAGAGAGACTCATAGACTGGCACACACAGAGAGAGAGACTCACAGACTGGCACAGAGAGAGAGACTCATAGACTGGCACACAGAGAGAGAGAAGAGACTCATAGACTGGCACACACAGAGAGAGAGACTCATAGACTGGCACAGAGAGAGAGAGAGACTCATAGACTGGCACAGAGAGAGAGACTCATAGACTGGCACAGAGAGAGAGAGACTCATAGACTGGCACACACACAGAGAGAGAGACTTACAGACTGGCACACAGAGAGAGAGAGAGACTCATAGACTGGTCCACACACAGAGAGACTCATAGACTGGCACACAGAGAGAGACTCATAGACTGGCACAGAGAGAGAGAGACTCATAGACTGGCACAGAGAGAGAGAGACTCATAGACTGGCACAGAGAGAGAGAGACTCAGAGACTGGCACACACACAGAGAGAGAGAGACTCACAGACTGGCACACAGAGAGAGAGACTCATAGACTGGCACACAGAGAGAGAGAGAGAGAGACTCATAGACTGGCACACACAGAGAGAGAGAGAGACTCATAGACTGGCACACACAGAGAGAGAGAGACTCATAGACTGGCACACAGAGAGAGAGAGAGACTCATAGACTGGCACACAGAGAGAGACTCATAGACTGGCACAGAGAGAGAGAGACTCATAGACTGGCACAGAGAGAGAGACTCATAGACTGGCACAACACAGAGAGAGAGAGAGAGACTCACAGACTGGCACACAGAGAGAGAGACTCATAGACTGGTCCACACACAGAGAGACTCATAGACTGGCACACAGAGAGAGACTCATAGACTGGCAACACAGAGAGAGAGAGACTCATAGACTGGCACACAGAGAGAGAGAAGACTCATAGACTGGCACACACAGAGAGAGAGAGGACTCATAGACTGGCACAGAGAAGAGAGAGAGACTCATAGACTGGCACAGAGAGAGAGACTCATAGACTGGCACAGAGAGAGAGAGACTCATAGACTGGCACACACACAGAGAGAGAGACTTACAGACTGGCACACAGAGAGAGAGAGAGAGACTCATAGACTGGTCCACACACAGAGAGACTCATAGACTGGCACACAGAGAGAGACTCATAGACTGGCACAGAGAGAGAGAGGACTCATAGACTGGCACAGAGAGAGAGAGACTCATAGACTGGCACAGAGAGAGAGAGACTCATAGACTGGCACACACACAGAGAGAGAGAGACTCACAGACTGGCACACAGAGAGAGAGACTCATAGACTGGCACACAGAGAGAGAGAGAGAGACACAGAGACTGGCACACACACAGAGAGAGAGAGACTCATAGACTGGCACACACAGAGAGAGAGAGACTCATAGACTGGCACACAGAGAGAGAGAGAGACTCATAGACTGGCACACAGAGAGAGACTCATAGACTGGCACAGAGAGAGAGAGAGACTCATAGACTGGCACAGAGAGAGAGACTCATAGACTGGCACACACAGGAGAGAGAGAGAGACTCACAGACTGGCACACAGAGAGAGAGAGAGACTCATAGACTGGCACACACAGAGAGAAAGACTCACAGACTGGCACAGAGAGAGAGACTCATAGACTGGCACACAGAGAGAGAGACTCATAGACTGGCACACACAGAGAGAGAGAGAGAGAGACTCATAGACTGGCACACACAGAGAGAGAGAGAGACTCATAGACTGGCACAGAGAGAGAGAGACTCATAGACTGGCACAGAGAGAGAGAGACTCATAGACTGGCACACACACAGAGAGAGAGAGACTCACAGACTGGCACACAGAGAGAGAGACTCATAGACTGGCACACAGAGAGAGAGAGAGAGAGACTCATAGACTGGCACACACAGAGAGAGAGAGAGACTCATAGACTGGCACACACAGAGAGAGAGAGACTCATAGACTGGCACACAGAGAGAGAGAGAGACTCATAGACTGGCACACAGAGAGAGACTCATAGACTGGCACAGAGAGAGAGAGACTCATAGACTGGCACAGAGAGAGAGACTCATAGACTGGCACACACAGAGAGAGAGAGAGACTCACAGACTGGCACACACAGAGAGAGAGAGACTCATAGACTGGCACACACAGAGAGAAAGACTCACAGACTGGCACAGAGAGAGAGACTCATAGACTGGCACACAGAGAGAGAGAGACTCATAGACTGGCACACACAGAGAGAGAGAGAGAGACTCATAGACTGGCACACACAGAGAGAGAGAGAGACTCATAGACTGGCACACAGAGAGAGAGACTCATAGACTGGCACACACAGAGAGAGAGACTCATAGACTGGCACAGAGAGAGAGACTCATAGACTGGCACAGAGAGAGAGAGACTCATAGACTGGCACACACACAGAGAGAGAGACTTACAGACTGGCACACAGAGAGAGAGAGAGACTCATAGACTGGTCCACACACAGAGAGACTCATAGACTGGCACACAGAGAGAGACTCATAGACTGGCACAGAGAGAGAGAGACTCATAGACTGGCACAGAGAGAGAGAGACTCATAGACTGGCACAGAGAGAGAGAGACTCATAGACTGGCACACACACAGAGAGAGAGAGACTCACAGACTGGCACACAGAGAGAGAGACTCATAGACTGGCACACAGAGAGAGAGAGAGAGAGACTCATAGACTGGCACACACAGAGAGAGAGAGAGACTCATAGACTGGCACACACAGAGAGAGAGAGACTCATAGACTGGCACACAGAGAGAGAGAGAGACTCATAGACTGGCACACAGAGAGAGACTCATAGACTGGCACAGAGAGAGAGAGAGACTCATAGACTGGCACAGAGAGAGAGACTCATAGACTGGCACAGAGAGAGAGAGACTCATAGACTGGCACACACAGAGAGAGAGAGAGACTCACAGACTGGCACAGAGAGAGAGACTCATAGACTGGCACAGAGGGAGAGACTCATAGACTGGCACACAGAGAGAGAGAAAGAGACTCATAGACTGGCACACACAGAGAGAGAGAGACTCATAGACTGGCACACACAGAGAGAGAGAGACTCATAGACTGGTCCACACAGAGAGAGAGACTCATAGACTAGCACAGAGAGAGAGAGAGACTCATAGACTGGCACACACAGAGAGAAAGAGAGACTCATAGACTGGCATAGAGAGAGAGAGACTCACAGACTGGCACACACAGAGAGAGAGACTCACAGACTGGCACAGAGAGAGAGAGAGACTCATAGACTGGCACACACAGAGAGAGACTCATAGACTGGCACACACAGAGAGAGAGAGACTCATAGACTGGCACACACAGAGAGAGAGAGACTCATAGACTGGCACAGAGAGAGAGAGAGAGACTCATAGACTGGCACACACAGAGAGAGACTCACAGACTGGCACAGAGAGGGAGAGACTCACAGACTGGCACAGAGAGAGAGAGAGACTCATAGACTGGCACACACAGAGAGAGACTCATAGACTGGCACACAGAGAGAGAGAGAGAGACTCATAGACTGGCACACACAGAGAGAGACTCATAGACTGGCACACACAGAGAGAGAGAGACTCATAGACTGGCACACACACACAGAGAGAGAGAGAGACTCATAGACTGGCACACACAGAGAGAGAGAGACTCATAGACTGGCACAGAGAGAGAGAGACTCATAGACTGGCACACACAGAGAGAGAGAGACTCATAGACTGGCACACACACACAGAGAGAGAGAGAGAGACTCATAGACTGGCACACACAGAGAGAGAGAGACTCATAGACTGGCACACACAGAGAGAGAGAGACTCATAGACTGGCACACACAGAGAGAGACTCATAGACTGGCACACACAGAGAGAGAGAGAGACTCATAGACTGGTCCACGGTCAGTATCCTCCTCCCCCTACACCTCGTCCCCCGTCTACCCCCGCGCAGGTGAGCTACATGGAGGACGTGGTGGAGTTGAGCGGCTACGCCCTGGACTCGGACTCCCCGTACGCTGTGCGTGACCGCGACCAGCAGCAGCAGCAGTCCACCGCCGTCACCGTCACGGGAAGGGCCGGACAATCGCGTCGCGTGCAGGTGAGCGCCGGCGCGGCGGGGTGAGCCACGGGTCGCGGGGTTCACGGGGGTCGCGGGGTCGCGGGGTCACGTTGGGGTCGTCGGTGCTCTGGCGGGACGCGGAGCGTGTTCGCGAGCGCGACGCGAATTGCCGCCGGGCTCCGTGTGCGCCTTTTTATGGGCCTTCACAGGCCCAGGGTGTGAGCCTTCACAGGCCGAGGGTGTAAGCCTTCACAGGCCCAGGGTGTGAGCCTTCACAGGCCCAGCGTGTGAGCCTTCACAGGCCCAGGGTGTGAGCCTTCACAGGCCCAGGGTGTGAGCCTTCACAGGCCGAGGGTGTGAGCCTTCACAGGCCCAGGGTGTGAGCCTTCACAGGCCCAGCGTGTGAGCCTTCACAGGCCCAGGGTGTGAGCCTTCACAGGCCCAGGGTGTGAGCCTTCACAGGCCGAGGGTGTGAGCCTTCACAGGCCCAGGGTGTGAGCCTTCACAGGCCGAGGGTGTGAGCCTTCACAGGCCGAGGGTGTGAGCCTTCACAGGCCGAGGGTGTGAGCCTTCACAGGCCCAGGGTGTGAGCCTTCACAGGCCGAGGGTGTGAGCCTTCACAGGCCGAGGGTGTGAGGCTTCACAGGCCCAGGGTGTGAGCCTTCACAGGCACAGGGTGTGAGCCTTCACAGGCCCAGGGTGTGAGCCTTCACAGGCCCAGGGTGTGAGCCTTCACAGGCCCAGGGTGTGAGCCTTCACAGTCCCAGGGTGTGAGCCTTCACAGGCCCAGGGTGTGAGCCTTCACAGGCCGAGGGTGTGAGCCTTCACAGCCCCAGGGTGTGAGCCTTCACAGGCCCAGGGTGTGAGCCTTCACAGGCCCAGGGTGTGAGCCTTCACAGGCCCAGGGTGTGAGCCTTCACAGGCCCAGGGTGTGAGCCTTTACAGGCCCAGGGTGTGAGCCTTCACAGGCCCAGGGTGTGAGCCTTCACAGGCCCAGGGTGTGAGCCTTCACAGGCCGAGGGTGTGAGCCTTCACAGGCCCAGGGTGTGAGCCTTCACAGGCCGAGGGTGTGAGCCTTCACAGGCCCAGGGTGTGAGCCTTCACAGGCCCAGGGTGTGAGCCTTCACAGGCCCAGGGTGTGAGCCTTCACAGGCCCAGGGTGTGAGCCTTCACAGGCCCAGGGTGTGAGCCTTCACAGGCCCAGGGTGTGAGCCTTCACAGGCCCAGGGTGTGAGCCTTCACAGGCCCAGGGTGTGAGCCTTCACAGGCCCAGGGTGTGAGCCTTCACAGGCCCAGGGTGTGAGCCTTCACAGGCCCAGGGTGTGAGCCTTCACAGGCCCAGGGTGTGAGCCTTCACAGGCCCAGGGTGTGAGCCTTCACAGCCCGAGGGTGTGAGCCTTCACAGGCCCAGGGTGTGAGCCTTCACAGGCCCAGGGTGTGAGCCTTCACAGGCCCAGGGTGTGAGCCTTCACAGGCCCAGGGTGTGAGCCTTCACAGGCCGAGGGTGTGAGCCTTCACAGGCCCAGGGTGTGAGCCTTCACAGGCCCAGGGTGTGAGCCTTCACAGGCCCAGGGTGTGAGCCTTCACAGGCCCAGGGTGTGAGCCTTCACAGGCCCAGGGTGTGGGCCTTCACAGGCCCAGGGTGTGAGCCTTCACAGGCCGAGGGTGTGGGCCTTCACAGGCCCAGGGTGTGAGCCTTCACAGGCCCAGGGTGTGAGCCTTCACAGGCCGAGGGTGTGAGCCTTCACAGGCCGAGGGTGTGAGCCTTCACAGGCCCAGGGTGTGAGCCTTCACAGGCCCAGGGTGTGAGCCTTCACAGGCCGAGGGTGTGAGCCTTCACAGGCCGAGGGTGTGAGCCTTCACAGGCCGAGGGTGTGAGCCTTCACAGGCCCAGGGTGTGAGCCTTCACAGGCCGAGGGTGTGAGCCTTCACAGGCCCAGGGTGTGAGCCTTCACAGGCCCAGGGTGTGAGCCTTCACAGGCCGAGGGTGTGAGCCTTCACAGGCCCAGGGTGTGAGCCTTCACAGGCCGAGGGTGTGGGCCTTCACAGGCCGAGGGTGTGAGCCTTCACAGGCCGAGGGTGTGAGCCTTCACAGGCCGAGGGTGTGAGCCTTCACAGGCCGAGGGTGTGAGCCTTCACAGGCCGAGGGTGTGAGCCTTCACAGGCCGAGGGTGTGAGTCTTCACAGTCCGAGGGTGTGAGTCTTCACAGTCCGAGGGTGTGAGTCTTCACAGTCCGAGGGTGTGAGTCTTCACAGTCCGAGGGTGTGAGTCTTCACAGTCCGAGGGTGTGAGTCTTCACAGTCCGAGGGTGTGAGCGAGGGTGTGAGCGAGGGTGTGAGTCTTCACAGTCCGAGGGTGTGAGTGAGGGTGTGAGCGAGGGTGTGAGTCTTCACAGGCCGAGGGTGTGAGTCTTCACAGCCAGAGGGTGTGAACGAGGGTGTGAGCGAGGGTGTGAGCGAGGGTGTGAGCGAGGGTGTGAGTCTTCACAGCCCGAGGGTGTGAGCGAGGGTGTGAGTCTTCACAGTCCCAGGGTGTGAGTCTTCACAGCCAAAGGGTGTGAGCGAGGGTGTGAGAGAGGGTGTGAGTCTTCACAGTCCGAGGGTGTGAGTCTTCACAGCCCGAGGGTGTGAGCGAGGGTGTGAGCGAGGGTGTGAGTCTTCACAGCCAGAGGGTGTGAACGAGGGTGTGAACGAGGGTGTGAGCGAGGGTGTGAGTGAGGGTGTGAGCGAGGGTGTGAGTCTTCACAGCCCCAGGGTGTGAGCGAGGGTGTGAGCGAGGGTGTGAGTCTTCACAGCCAGAGGGTGTGAGTGAGGGTGTGAGCGAGGGTGTGAGTCTTCACAGCCCCAGGGTGTGAGTCTTCACAGCCCGAGGGTGTGAGCGAGGGTGTGAGCGAGGGTGTGAGTCTTCACAGCCAGAGGGTGTGAGCGAGGGTGTGAGCGAGGGTGTGAGTCTTCACAGCTGCTGCTACTCGCGACGAACAGAACTTGCCCCGACAGTCTGCGTTGGGATATACGTGTGTGTGTCTTTGTGAGTGTCTGTGTGTGTGTCTGTGTGAGTGTCTGTATGTGTGTCTTTGTGAGTGTGAGTGTCTTTGTGTGTCTTTGTGTGTGTGAGTGTCTGTGTGTGTGTCTGTGTGAGTATCTCTGTGTGTGTGAGTGTCTTTATGTGTGTCTGTGCGAGTGTCTTTGTGTGTGTGAGTGTCTTTGTGTGTCTTTGTGTGTGTGTGTCTGTGTGAGTGTCTGTGTGTGTGTGTCTTTGTGTGTGTCTGTGTGAGTGTCTGTGTGTGTGTCTGTGTGAGTATCTGTGTGTGTGTGTGTGATTGTCTTTGTGTGTGTCTGTGTGAGTGTCTGTGTGTGTGTGAGTGTCTTTGTGTGTGTCTGTGTGAGTGTCTGTGTGAGTGTCTGTGAGTGTCTTTGTGTGTGTCTGTGTGAGTGTCTGTGTGAGTGTCTGTGTGAGTGTCTTTGTGTGTGTCTTTGTGTGTGTCTGTGTGTCTGTCTGTGTGTCTGTGTGTGTGTGTCTTTGTGTGTGTCTGTGTGAGTGTGTGAGTGTCTTTGTGTGTGTGTGTGTCTGTGTGAGTGTCTGTGTGTGTGTCTTTGTGTGTGTCTGTGTGAGTGTCTGTGTGTGTGTGATTGTCTTTGTGTGTGTCTGTGTGAGTGTCTGTGTCTTTGTGTGTGTCTGTGTGAGTGTCTGTGTGTGTGTGTCTTTGTGTGTGTCTGTGTGAGTATCTGTGTGTGTGTGATTGTCTTTGTGTGTGTCTGTGTGAGTGTCTGTGTGTAAGTGTCTTTGTGTGTGTCTGTGTGAGTGTCTGTGTGTGTGTGTGTGTGATTGTCTTTGTGTGTGTCTGTGTGAGTGTCTGTGTGTGTGTGAGTGTCTTTGTGTGTGTCTGTGTGAGTGTCTGTGTGTGTGTGAGTGTCTTTGTGTGTGTCTGTGTGAGTGTCTGTGTGTGTGAGTGTCTTTCTGTGTGTCTTTGTGTGTGTCTGTGTGTGTGTGAGTGTCTGTGTGAGTGTCTGTGAGTGTCTCTGTGTGTGTCTGTGTGAGTGTGTGTGTGAGTGTGTGTGTGTCTGTGTGTGTGTGTGTGTGTTTTTGTGTGTGTCTGTGTGAGTGTCTGTGTGTCTTTGTGTGTGTCTGTGTGAGTGTCTGTGTGTGTGTGTGTCTATATGTGTGTGTCTATGTGAGTGTCTGTGAGTGTCTTTGTGTGTGTCTGTGTGAGTGTCTGTGTGTGTGTCTGTGTGTGTGTCTGTGTGAGTGTCTGTGTGAGTGTCTTTGTGTGTGTCTGTGTGTGTGAGTGTCTGTGTGTGTGTCTGTGTGTGTGTCTGTGTGTGTGTGTCTGTGTGTCTGTGTGTGTGTGTGGGGAGCGATAGTGTAGCGGTTAGCGCGCTGCGCTATGAACCTGGCGACCCGGGTTCGATTCCCGCTCACGGCTAACACCAGTGACGATTATCTGAACCGGTCCCGGGCCTCCCCTAGGTCGACTCAGCCTCAAATGAGTACCTGGTGCGGTGTGTAAACATCGCCACTAGGGAGACAAAGGCGGTCGGGCGTGGTGCTGGCCACCCACCCCCTCGTGTACCGTTCCGGCCTTCATAGGTGCTCGCTAACAGCACTTGCCCCGACAGTCTGTTAAGGCTATATGGGGGATCTTTGTCTTTGTCTTTTGTGTGTGTCTTTGTGTGTGTCTGTGTCAGTGTCTGTGTGTGTGTGTGTCTATGTGTGTGTTTGTGGGGAGCGGTGGTGCAGCCGTCAGCGCTACGCTGCTCTACGAACCCGGCGACCCGGTTTCGATTCCCGCCCAAGGCCAACACCCGGTGACGGTTATCTGAACCGGTCCTGGGCCTCCCCTAGGTCGACTCGGCCTCAACTGAGTACCTGGCGTAGCGGTGTGTAGTAAACATCGCCACTGGGGGAGACAAAGGCGGCCGGGCGTGGTGCTGCCGGCCAACCACACACCCACCCACCCACCCCCCTCGCGTGCCGTGCCGACCTTCGTCGGCGCTCGCTCACGACACTTGCCCCAACAGTCCGTTCGGGCCGCGCGGGGGATCTTTGTCTTTGTCGTGGTGTGCGCTCGTGCGGTGGCGTTGTGGTGGTGCGAGCCTCGCCGGCGAGCCACCGAGGTTCGAGCCGCAAGCTCGCGGCCGCCAGCGACGCTGGGCGAGCATCTAAAACCGTTCCCCGCGGCGGCCGCGGGGGGGGGGCGGGCGGCACCGCTCGGTCCCCCGACGGGCCGCTGACGCTCTTTTAGGTTATTTCGGTGAAGTCGCGTGGATTAGGGAAATAAGTAAAAAATGCATCCCGACGTTTCGATCGCAACGGCGAGCGGTCGTCCCCGGGCGAGAGAAGCGCTCCTCTGTGGCGAGGCATTACATAGTAGGGGGGATGGGGGGGGGGGAGGGGGTAGTAGGCCGCAAAGGGGCGCGAGAGCGCTGGGGATGACATTCAAAGAGGGCTTGGGTGAGAGAGAGAGAGAGAGAAGAGAAAAGAAATGTGACAAGGAAGCCGAGATGTCAAACGTAACAGAACCTTGAAATGCAACGCAACTCAGAGAGTCGGCTAACACAACAGTTAACACCTTCGCCCGGTTGATCAACGTCCTTCCAAAGATTGCTACATTTTGCATCCCTCCCTCTCCGCGTGATGCCTCGCCGCAGAGGCGCGTTTCTCCCTTTCACCTGAGCACGACCGCCGCTTGCTGTTGCGATCGAAACGTCGGCACCTACCATTTGCCCCCCTTTTCCTAATCCGCGCGACTTTTTTGCCGAAATAACCCACGAGCGATGAAAATCCCGCAGTCACGGGAGCTTCCAATATATATATAAAAAAAAAAAACACGTTTCTTCAACTTTTCTCCTTCCTCGTCCCCACTGCGAGCTCAGCTGTCGTGGGAGAAGGAGGGGCCGCCCGGCACGGACCCCAGCGGCCTCGACCCGGCGCGCTACAGCGCCCGCACGCGCCACGCCGTCGCCACCGCCCGCCCCGAGCGCGTCAACCTGGAGCTCGTGGTGGTGCTGCTCTCCCACCTGGGTGAGTTGTTGGGGGGGGGGGGCGGGGGGGGGGGGTGTCATAATAAATCACGAGAATGAAGAAATTGATAATGAAATAAAAAAAAACTGCGTGGCAATACGGCAAAAATGACATCGTCCAAAATTGAATTATGAAAATTAATTATAATGAAACAAATAAAGTCCCCCCCCCCATCGGCGGGCGTGTGCCGGGGCCGGCAACGCCGCCTCGTCACGGCGCCACTGGGGGAGGCGAAGGCGGCCCCGGGCGGTGGTGCTGGCCACCCACCACCCGCTAGCGCCGTGTGCCGCAGTGCCGGCCTTCGTAGGCGCTGCCGCCGCTCGCTCGCGGCACTTGCCCCGACAGGCGTCTGCCAGAGGCTACACGGGGGACCTTTGTCCTCGTGCCTAGACACCAGCGCCGAGCTGCGTGCGGTGGACGGCGCCGTGCTCGTCTTCCTGCCGGGCTTCGCCGACATCCAGGATCTCCACGACGCGCTGAGCCAGCACCGGGACTTCCGCGACTCCCGCCGGTGAGGCCGCCCCCCCCGGCGCCGGAACGCCGCCGTTCACATCGATAGCCTCAACAGTGAGCCGATTGCACCGGCATTGCCGCGGCGAACGCTTGCCGTGCGATGCCAGCGTCGTGCGCGTGTGTGTGTGTGTGCGTGTGTGTGTGTGCGTGTGTGTGTGCGTGTGTGTGTGTGTGTGCGTGTGTGTGTGTGCGTGTGTGTGTGCATGTGTGTGTGTGCGTGTGTGCGTGTGTGTGTGTGTGCATGTGTGTGCGTGTGTGCGTGTGTGTGCGTGTGTGTGTGTGCGTGTGTGTGTGCGTGTGCATGGGTGTGTGCGTGCGTGTGTGTGTGCGTGCATGTGCGTGTGTGTGTGTGTCTGTGTGTGTGTGTGTGCGTGTGTGTGTGCGTGCGTGCGTGCGCGCGTGTGTGCGCGTGTGTGTGTGTGTGTGCATGGGTGTGTGCGTGCGTGCGTGTGTGCGCGTCTGTGTGTGTGTGTGTGTCTGTGTGTGTGCGTGTGTGTGTGTGTGCATGTGTGTGCGTGTGTGCGTGTGTGTGCGTGTGTGTGTGTGCGTGTGTGTGTGCGTGTGCATGGGTGTGTGCGTGCGTGTGTGTGTGCGTGCATGTGCGTGTGTGTGTGTGTCTGTGTGTGTGTGTGTGCGTGTGTGTGTGCGTGCGTGCGTGCGCGCGTGTGTGCGCGTGTGTGTGTGTGTGTGCATGGGTGTGTGCGTGCGTGCGTGTGTGCGCGTCTGTGTGTGTGTGTGTGTCTGTGTGTGTGTGTGTGCGTGCGCTGGGGTGTGGTCTCGGGAGCGTGGCCAGCGGTGGTGTAGCGGTCAGCGCTACTCCGCCCCTACACGAACCCGGCCTCACCGAGTTCCATTCCCGCTCGCGGCCACCAACACCGCCGGTGACGACAGAAATCTGAACCGGTCCCGGGCCTCCTGACTAGGTCGACTCGGCCTCAACGAAGTACCTGGTGCGGTGTGTAAACATCGCCGCTGGGGAGACAAAGGCGGCCGGGCGTGCGTGGTACCGGCCACCTCGCCCCCCACCTCGTGCGGCCGTGCCGACCTTCGTAGGTGCCGCTCGCTAACGGCGCTTGACCCGGCCGCCCGTGCAGGCTACACGGTGGAGGGCGGGACCTTTGCCTGTACCTAACCGTGTGTGCATCGCTGCGCCAGGTACAAGGTGGTGCCGCTCCACTCGGTGCTGTCGTCGCGCGACCAGAGCGCCGCTTTCTCCATCCCTCCGCCGGGTGTGCGCAAGGTACGGTCTCTGTGTGAGTCTGTGGGTCTCTGTGTGAGTCTATGGGTTTCTGTGTGAGTCTATGGGTTTTTGTGTGAGTCTGTGGGTCTCTGTGTGAGTCTGGCTCTCTGCGTGAGTCTGTGGCTCTCTGCGTGAGTCTGTGGGTCTCTGCGTGAGTCTGTGGGTCTCTGTGTGAGTCTGTGGGTCTCTGTGTGAGTCTGTGGGTCTCTGTGTGAGTCTGTGGGTCTCTGTGTGAGTCTGTGGGTCTCTGTGTGAGTCTGTGGGTCTCTGGGGGTCTCTGTGTGAGTCTGTGGGGTCTCTGTGTGAGTCTGTGGGTCTCTGGGGTCTCTGTGTGAGTCTGTGGGTCTCTGTGTGAGTCTGTGGGTCTCTGCGTGAGTCTGTGGGTCTCTGTGTGAGTCTGTGGGTCTCTGTGTGAGTCTGTGGGTCTCTGCGTGAGTCTGTGGGTCTCTGTGTGAGTCTGTGGGTCTCTTGTGTGTCTGTGGGTCTCTGTGTGAGTCTGTGGGTCTCTGTGAGTCTATGGGTCTCTGTGTGAGTCTGTGGGTCTCTGTGAGTCTGTGGGTCTCTGTGTGAGTCTGTGGGTCTCTATGTGAGTCTGTGGGTCTCTGCGTGAGTCTGTGGGTCTCTGTGAGTCTGTGGGTCTCTGTGTGAGTCTGTGGGTCTCTGTGTGAGTCTGTGGGTCTCTGTGTGAGTCTGTGGGTCTCTGGGGGTCTCTGTGTGAGTCTGTGGGTCTCTGTGTGAGTCTGTGGGTCTCTGCGTGAGTCTGTGGGTCTCTGTGTGAGTCTGTGGGTCTCTGTGTGAGTCTGTGGGTCTCTGGGGGTCTCTGTGTGAGTCTGTGGGTCTCTGTGTGAGTCTGTGGGTCTCTGTGTGAGTCTGTGGGTCTCTGTGTGAGTCTGTGGGTCTCTGTGTGAGTCTGTGGGTCTGTGTGTGAGTCTGTGGGTCTCTGTGTGCGAGTCTCTGGGTCACTGTGCGAGTCTCTGGGTCTCTGTGTGAGTCTATGGGTCTCTGTGTGAGTCTGTGGGTCTCTGTGTGAGTCTGTGGGTCTCTGTGTGAGTCTGTGGGTCTCTGTGTGAGTCTGTGGGTCTCTGTGTGAGTCTGTGGGTCTCTGTGTGAGTCTGTGGGTCTCTGTGTGTGTCTGTGGGTTTCTGTGTGAGTCTGTGGGTCTCTGTGAGTCTATGGGTCTCTGTGTGAGTCTGTGGGTCTCTGTGTGAGTCTGTGGGCCTCTGCGTGAGTCTGTGGGTCTCTGTGTGAGTCTGTGGGTCTCTGTGTAAGTCTGTGGGTCTCTGCGTGAGTCTGTGGGTCTCTGTGTGAGTCTGTGGGTCTCTGTGTGAGTCTGTGGGTCTCTGTGTGAGTCTGTGGGTCTCTGTGTGAGTCTGTGGGTCTCTGTGTGAGTCTGTGGGTCTCTGTGTGAGTCTGTGGGTCTGTGTGTGAGTCTGTGGGTCTCTGTGTTCGAGTCTCTGGGTCACTGTGCGAGTCTCTGGGTCTCTGTGTGAGTCTATGGGTCTCTGTGTGAGTCTGTGGGTCTCTGTGTGAGTCTGTGGGTCTCTGTGTGAGTCTGTGGGTCTCTGTGTGAGTCTGTGGGTCTCTGTGTGAGTCTGTGGGTCTCTGTGTGAGTCTGTGGGTCTCTGTGTGAGTCTGTGGGTCTCTGTGTGAGTCTGTGGGTCTCTGTGTGAGTCTGTGGGTCTGTGTGTGAGTCTGTGGGTCTCTGTGTGCGAGTCTCTGGGTCACTGTGCGAGTCTCTGGGTCTCTGTGTGAGTCTATGGGTCTCTGTGTGAGTCTGTGGGTCTCTGTGTGAGTCTGTGGGTCTCTGTGTGAGTCTGTGGGTCTCTGTGTGAGTCTGTGGGTCTCTGTGTGAGTCTGTGGGTCTCTGTGTGAGTCTGTGGGTCTCTGTGTGTGTCTGTGGGTTTCTGTGTGAGTCTGTGGGTCTCTGTGAGTCTATGGGTCTCTGTGTGAGTCTGTGGGTCTCTGTGTGAGTCTGTGGGTCTCTGCGTGAGTCTGTGGGTCTCTGTGTGAGTCTGTGGGTCTCTGTGTGAGTCTGTGGGTCTCTGCGTGAGTCTGTGGGTCTCTGTGTGAGTCTGTGGGTCTCTGTGTGAGTCTGTGGGTCTCTGTGTGAGTCTGTGGGTCTCTGTGTGAGTCTGTGGGTCTCTGTGTGAGTCTGTGGGTCTCTGTGTGAGTCTGTGGGCCTGTGTGTGTGTCTGTGGGTCTCTGTGTGCGAGTCTCTGGGTCACTGTGCGAGTCTCTGGGTCTCTGTGTGAGTCTATGGGTCTCTGTGTGAGTCTGTGGGTCTCTGTGTGAGTCTGTGGGTCTCTGTGTGAGTCTGTGGGTCTCTGTGTGAGTCTGTGGGTCTCTGTGTGAGTCTGTGGGTCTCTGTGTGAGTCTGTGGGTCTCTGTGTGAGTCTGTGGGTCTCTGTGTGAGTCTGTGGGTTTCTGTGTGAGTCTGTGGGTCTCTGTGAGTCTATGGGTCTCTGTGTGAGTCTGTGGGTCTCTGTGTGAGTCTGTGGGTCTCTGCGTGAGTCTGTGGGTCTCTGTGTGAGTCTGTGGGTCTCTGTGATGAGTCTGTGGGTCTCTGCGTGAGTCTGTGGGTCTCTGTGTGAGTCTGTGGGTCTCTGTGTGAGTCTGTGGGTCTCTGTGTGAGTCTGTGGGTCTCTGTGTGAGTCTGTGGGTCTCTGTGTGAGTCTGTGGGTCTCTGTGTGAGTCTGTGGGCCTGTGTGTGAGTCTGTGGGTCTCTGTGTGCGAGTCTCTGGGTCACTGTGCGAGTCTCTGGGTCTCTGTGTGAGTCTATGGGTCTCTGTGTGAGTCTGTGGGTCTCTGTGTGAGTCTGTGGGTCTCTGTGTGAGTCTGTGGGTCTCTGTGTGAGTCTGTGGGTCTCTGTGTGAGTCTGTGGGTCTCTGTGTGAGTCTGTGGGTCTCTGTGTGAGTCTGTGGGTCTCTGTGTGAGTCTGTGGGTCTCTGTGTGAGTGTATTGGTCTCTGTGTGAGTCTGTGGGTCTCTGTGTTAGTCTGTGGGTCTCTGTGTGAGTCTGTGGGTCTCTGTGCGAATCTGTGGGTCTCTGTGTGAGTCTGTGGGTCTCTGTGTGAGTCTGTGGGTCTCTGTGTGAGTCTGTGGGTCTCTGTGTGAGTCTGTGGGTCTCTGTGTGAGTCTGTGGGTCTCTGTGTGAGTGTATTGGTCTCTGTGTGAGTCTGTGGGTCTCTGTGTTAGTCTGTGGGTCTCTGTGTGAGTCTGTGGGTCTCTGTGCGAATCTGTGGGTCTCTGTGCGAGTCTGTGGGTCTCTGTGTGAGTCTGTGGGTCTCTGTGTGAGTCTGTGGGTCTCTGTGTGAGTCTGTGGGTCTGTGTGTGAGTCTGTGGGTCTCTGTGTGCGAGTCTCTGGGTCACTGTGCGAGTCTCTGGGTCTCTGTGTGAGTCTATGGGTCTCTGTGTGAGTCTGTGGGTCTCTGTGTGAGTCTGTGGGTCTCTGTGTGAGTCTGTGGGTCTCTGTGTGAGTCTGTGGGTCTCTGTGTGAGTCTGTGGGTCTCTGTGTGAGTCTGTGGGTCTCTGTGTGTGTCTGTGGGTTTCTGTGTGAGTCTGTGGGTCTCTGTGAGTCTATGGGTCTCTGTGTGAGTCTGTGGGTCTCTGTGTGAGTCTGTGGGTCTCTGCGTGAGTCTGTGGGTCTCTGTGTGAGTCTGTGGGTCTCTGTGTGAGTCTGTGGGTCTCTGCGTGAGTCTGTCGGTCTCTGTGTGAGTCTGTGGGTCTCTGTGTGAGTCTGTGGGTCTCTGTGTGAGTCTGTGGGTCTCTGTGTGAGTCTGTGGGTCTCTGTGTGAGTCTGTGGGTCTCTGTGTGAGTCTGTGGGCCTGTGTGTGAGTCTGTGGGTCTCTGTGTGCGAGTCTCTGGGTCACTGTGCGAGTCTCTGGGTCTCTGTGTGAGTCTATGGGTCTCTGTGTGAGTCTGTGGGTCTCTGTGTGAGTCTGTGGGTCTCTGTGTGAGTCTGTGGGTCTCTGTGTGAGTCTGTGGGTCTCTGTGTGAGTCTGTGGGTCTCTGTGTGAGTCTGTGGGTCTCTGTGTGAGTCTGTGGGTCTCTGTGTGAGTCTGTGGGTCTCTGTGTGAGTCTGTGGGTTTCTGTGTGAGTCTGTGGGTCTCTGTGAGTCTATGGGTCTCTGTGTGAGTCTGTGGGTCTCTGTGTGAGTCTGTGGGTCTCTGCGTGAGTCTGTGGGTCTCTGTGTGAGTCTGTGGGTCTCTGTGATGAGTCTGTGGGTCTCTGCGTGAGTCTGTGGGTCTCTGTGTGAGTCTGTGGGTCTCTGTGTGAGTCTGTGGGTCTCTGTGTGAGTCTGTGGGTCTCTGTGTGAGTCTGTGGGTCTCTGTGTGAGTCTGTGGGTCTCTGTGTGAGTCTGTGGGCCTGTGTGTGAGTCTGTGGGTCTCTGTGTGCGAGTCTCTGGGTCACTGTACGAGTCTCTGGGTCTCTGTGTGAGTCTGTGGGTCTCTGTGTGAGTCTGTGGGTCTCTGTGTGAGTCTGTGGGTCTCTGTGTGAGTCTGTGGGTCTCTGTGTGAGTCTGTGGGTCTCTGTGTGAGTCTGTGGGTCTCTGTGTGAGTCTGTGGGTCTCTGTGTGAGTCTGTGGGTCTCTGTGTGAGTCTGTGGGTCTCTGTGTGAGTGTATTGGTCTCTGTGTGAGTCTGTGGGTCTCTGTGTTAGTCTGTGGGTCTCTGTGTGAGTCTGTGGGTCTCTGTGCGAATCTGTGGGTCTCTGTGCGAGTCTGTGGGTCTCTGTGTGAGTCTGTGGGACTCTGTGTGAGTCTGTGGGTCTCTGTGTGAGTTTGTGGGTCTCAGTGTGAGTCTGTGGGTCTCTGTGTGAGTCTGGGTCTCTGTGCGAGTCTGTGGGTCTCTGTGCGAGTCTGTGGGTCTCTGTGCGAGTCTGTGGGCCTCTGTGCGAGTCTGTGGGTCTCTGTGTGATGAGTCTGTGGGTCTCTGTGTGAGTCTGTGGGTCTCTGTGTGAGTCTGTGGGTCTCTGTGTGAGTCTGTGGGTCTCTGGGTGAGTCTGTGGGTCTCTGTGTGAGTCTGTGTGTCTCTGTGTGAGTCTGTGGGTAACCAGCCGTGCTAATTTGGAGGTGCG